CGTTTCCCCTCTGCCATCCCTAGCCTCCTGAGACTCCCCCGCCCTGCTCAGGGGCTGTTCCCTGGGGGTGGGGTTGGTGAGACCAGTGGAGGGAGCTGGCCCTCCTGAGTGTGTGAGGAGGAGGCTCTTCCAGGACAGGTACGTAGGTGACAGCTGTAGGCCACCTCTTTGTTCCCACATCTCCCCAGATGCTTCCTAAGCCCCGTGGACAGGGAGGCCCTGCTTGCTGCCTGGACTCAAGGGCAGGTAGGAATGGAAAGCCGTGTCCTCCTCTGGTCTGGAGCTGCTCTGGTCAGGGAAGAGACAGCAGGGCCTTGGGAGGTGGCCAGCAGAGGGGTAAAGAGCCGCTGCAGTCCTGGCCCTGACCTGAGCCTGTGTCCTGGTGAGTGGGGCTGGCCCCTGCGCCTGAGTCTCTGTGTTGGGGGGGTCATGGGCTTTTCAGGACTCAGAGGCTTGTAGACCATTAGTGTGGCACCTGGCCCAGGGAGGGGCTCAGTAGTATGTTCTTGTGACGGTGGCAGTGCATTTGGGGTCCCCAAGCCCACCCTTTCCATGGCTCCCAAGAAATGGGAATGCTGTGGACTCAGGGTTGTGGTTTTTATAGGAAGGACACCGAGCCTAGCCAGTGGGTGCAGAAGGCAGGTGGGCAGGTCTTGGGGCCAGTAGGGTGGGGCTGCTGTGCTCCTCTCCTGGGGTCCTGTGGGTGGTGTGGCCCTTGCTGTCAGCCTGGTGTGACTCCAGGCACTTGGAGTAGCACAGAGCCCACCGCATTGTGCAGGGTGTATTGAAGTGACTGTGGGCCCCTTGGTCACTCAGCCTCCAACCCCCGGAGGCTCACTTGACACCGTGGCCCAGGGCCCACCATGAGTCACGTGTGGAGCAAAGATCTGTGTGGCTGAGGTCCCCAGTAGACTCCTGTCAGGCAGGTGGCTCTGGGCTTGCAGGTGAGAGGGGGCCCTCAGGAGCTGGAGTGAGATGGGCCTTTCTCTTTGGGCCCCCAGGGAGGCTGGGAAGGCTGGGGACAGGAGGGTGTGCTTACAGACAGAGAAGGGCCAGGCGTGGAGAGCCACGCTCTGCGGCTGCCACACACCTGCTCTTGCCCTGAGGCCCTGGGACGAGGTCTGTCCATCACT